AAAGGAGTTTGTGCCAGGTAATATAAGCTTTAGTAGCAGAGGGGAGATGTTAACTCAGGGCTTCGGTCTTAATCCAGGCTTTTCCTTTCAACTTCCACCCTCTGTTGTTTTTGGATACTCATAACTCTAGCCTTGTTCTAGGTTCTAAGAAGTTTTACACAGTATGCAGAAAATAAAGATGAAGTAGATTGGACAAAGAAAACTGTAGAATAAGAAAAATACGGTGCTATACAGAAGAAACTTGCATATCTATTTTATATATAGTAGTTAGTATCTGCAAATCTTGCTACTATGTATAAAATAGATATACAATAAGTTTCTTCTGTATAGCACAGGGAAATATATTCAATATCTTGTAGTAACTTATAATGAAAAAGAATATGAAAAGGAATATATGTATGTATCTGTATGACTGAAACATTATGCTGTACACTAGAAATTGACACAAATTGACACAACATTGTCAACTGACTACATTGCAATAAGAAAGAGATAAAAACAAAGAAAAAAGGAAAAGAAAAAAGAAAAGTTATGGTGAAGTCACATACCAGATGAGTATTTCAAAAGTATACTGTGAGAGCATGTACATTTCCTGGAAATGAGTTACATATTTGACTAGTTTACTAGTTGTTGTACAAACAGGGCAAAGTGATTACCTAGTTTCTTAAAAAGTTAAATATACATTTTTCATAGGATACACATGTCCACACCCAAATATTAACCCAAGAGAAATGAAACATTAAAAGGCTTGCACACAAATGTTTATAGCCGCTTTTCTTGTAATAATAAAACTGGAAACAGCCCACATTTCCATTGTTTATCTGGATTATTTTGTATGAGTAATTAAGCTTGGTTATTTGCAAGTCTGTAAATCCTCACAAAACTCCAAAGAAATAGATTCTATTATGATGCCAAATTTATGGGTAAATAATTAAGGCTCAGAGAGATTATATAATTCTCCTGTGCTCACACAGCTAGCTAATCAGCTGGAAGAATTAGAACTTTGAATTAAAGTCTGACATTATAATCTAATCTCTTAACCACTGTGTCATACTGATTCCCATATAAACTTACATTAAAAAAATTATTGAAGTATAGTTGATTTACAATGTTGTGTTAGTTTCTGGCTTACAGCAGAACTATGGTTTATTACAGGGTATTGAATATATTTCCCTGTGCTATACAGCAGGACCTTGCTGTTCACCTATTTTATATATAGTATAAACTTACATTTATTGAAACTTAATCACCTCTCCTCACTTTTTAAGGTTTTTCTTTTCACCTAGTGATAGATTTAATTAAGTATAATTAAGTGTGCTATTATATAAATAAATAAATAAATGCTTTACCTAGGATGTATATCAAATAACTTTAAGAATCATTACTTTGAAATGCAAATCAAAACTACAATGAGGTTATCACCTCACAGTCAGAATGGCCATCATTCAAA